TTCTTTACTCGACTCGTAGTGTCGGCCCAACCTTTAGACCAATTAGGTTATTGCCTAGGACCTCTAAATAAAATAAACAATGATATACAGTTAAAATTTTAGAATATAACTTAAATACTTAATATATTTTAATCATTGAATTGATAGTGAGTGCTAACTTTAAACAAAATTCACTATTTATCTAATGTATTTGGTCCTCAAATTAAGTGTAACTAGCATTATCAAAAAAATTTAGGGCCCTAAAGTTCAATTTATTTTGTTATCTCATCCGATATTTATATTATATATATTCTGACTTTGCAGTCTATCATATAATAGGTACGAACAATAATTTTACATTTGTATAAATTAATTTGAAATTATTTTTTAATAACTTTGTTTACAATGTACAAAATGACTATAAATAGAGTGAGTATAAATAATACACTAACTATCTTTTTTATTTAAAAATAATTTTTTTTCCTTATGATATCTAACAAGTAGGGGTAACCCGTGCCTTTAGGCACATTGTAGCATAAATGAGAAGTGATAGATTCCTGAGAAAAAAATTTAATTTGAATGGATTTAAGAGAGATGTTGGTGGTCGTTGAATAAGTCTATTTGAGACCGCCAGATATGTTTTTTAAAACCTACCTTTTTTATATTATAGAAGTCTCGTTTATTTTATGACTACTCAACTTGTATAAATTCTTATTTTTTTATACATTTAGAAAAAAAAAATAATTTATTAGTCAAACTAATTTTCAATTATGTTTATCTTTTATCTTAAATAAATAGTATGTATCATTGTATTTGATCTCTGTATTTAACTTCGATTAATAAAATTTTTATTTGTAAAATTTAATTAGTATGTTATATCTCAAACAAAAAAACAAATAATTTATAAATAAACTTAATTTAATAAGTATTTAATATTATTATTATTATTGAATAAATATTTATAAGGTCTCATACGCCTAAGAGCCCAAATTAGGTTAGGTTGGGCTGCCACTGTCAACTTGTCTAATGATCCCGTTGCATATATAGACTCCACCCTATTAGTGATGTTTTTCTATGCAAATATCCGAACCAAAAAATCAGATGGCAAAGACGAAAGTACCATTTTTGACACCACTTTTATGTCACATTTGAATCTGGCTATGATATGGGCACTATTCAATGAAGAAGAAGAGGTTAACCAAATACACTAAACAAATCTTGGGAGGGATTGCCACTTGTCCATATAAATATAGTGTTTGGTGAATCATTGCATTGAATATTCCCGAAAATGAAAAGCACCATAAGACAAGGCTAGGCCAAGGTGTTTTCCCATCACTTCCTTATATAAAAAGTGAAAGATGTGACATTTTTTATTTGTATACTCTAACTTGCTACAAGTGAAACCTAGGATGCTCTTCGGACTATATTTAGGGATGGCATTACATCAAAGTAAAATACGGATTTGTCCAAATTCAGTGGAGCGTTCACATTATACCTTATGAGTAAGAATTGTGGTGTTTTATCTTTCTATTTAGTATTTTGTGAAAGAATTTTTTTTAACCTATCTTACCCGATCAAGTGTATTATTCCTATCTGAATTCCATCCAAAACAATCGGGTAGGAAGTCGGGTGAACACATATTTTTTAGTTTAATTTTTGAATTATTTTAAAATTTTAATTAAGTAACTTGTACCAAATAAGTAACGCAATAAACTAACAATACTAAAGAAAAGATAATAAATTCTATAATACATAAATAATTACAATAAAACATAACGAGAAAATTATAAACATCAATACATAAAGTATAAGAAAGCTATAAATATTAATAAAATATTAGTGTTTTTAGATTTTTTTTATTTTAATTTTTAGGGATTAACATATATGTATATATGAGTAGGAATATAGAAACTTTGTAGATATTCCTTATTCCTACCTTATTTTTTGTAGAATACCAAAAAATATTTTATTGCCCTACTCCATTCTTTGGGATAGCCAATTAGTAGGGTCAAGTAGAGTAGGATAGAGTCAGAATTTGCGGGTAATCGAAAATTTGAACACCCCCTAAAATTCACCATGTTTGGATTAGAGATGAACCATACATATTAAATGATGAATGTATACGGGGATACCCATATAACTCTGTGCAAGGATGAACTAAAATTTATCCCCGCCTCACTCCACTAAATCTGTTAGATTTATACATAACAAAAAAAGTTTATTGTGTCTTATTAGATTATACCCTTTTAGCCTTCCTTATGTTATTATTTCTTTGCTTTTGGTTTTGGTTTTGATCATATCATGTGATATAAGTATACAACTTATACTTTAATTGTCATGACTTTGTTTTAAATTATTTTAAAAAAAATTATAGAAATTAATTATTAAGGACAAGGGCAGGGGCGGGGGTAAGGGTGAAGGCGAGGACGAGTAAAGAGCAGAAATTTGAATTTATCCTAGGAGAAGGAATGCGAATTAAAACTTGCCTCGTTAACAAGGTGGACAAGGGATTCACAGACTTTTTTTTAATAGGGTATAGAGGTGGAGACTACTCAACTCTTTGACCCCATCCCAACCCACTGTCATTCCTAGTCATATTATAGAGATTTCACATGGTATGATTGAGGTTCGTATGGAGTACTAGTACATTTATATTTAACTTGTTTATTTAATTGTGCCAAATATTTTAATAATAAGCTAACATAAGTATTATTTTTGTTTTGTTCAGATTCATATACATAACTCGCAAATTAAGAGTATGTTAGATAAGTGTTTTTGTTTGATATTTTTTCCAAAAAAATAATCAAAAACGTGTTTGATATTTGTTTTTGATTTTTTTTTTTATCTAAGTTTTTTGAAAACAAGCTCAAAATTTGAAAACAAAAAATTCATGTTTACAAAAACAACAAAAAACACATGAGACTTTTCGCTGAGTTTAATGAGATCTCTAAAACTCAATGCTAAAATCTCATTCCATAAGTTATAGATCGTCAATCATACACTCAATCCCTATATTATTGAAATCAAGTAGAAAAATCATCTTAATGTGCAAAGATTCACATAAAAACTTATCAAAAAATAATAATTAAAAAATTAGAATTTTTTTTTTTATACAATGTTAGATAAACAAGTTTGTTATGTCAAAACCGAGTTTATTCTTCTTTGCCCCTAACTCAAATGCTATTTTTTGAAATTATATGCTATTTTTTGAAATTAAACATTTACTCTTCTTCTAATAAAAATGTTTCATCTCTAAATTTTTTTACGTATTATTTTTTTACTATTTTATTATTATTTTAATCAATATTTATAATTTTACAAATCATAGCCAATTTACAAATCAATTTTGACAAGTCTTATTCGAACTTTTAAAAACTTTTGGCATTGTAGTTCCCTTCAAGTTAGTACGTAGCAAATCATTAGTAGGTACCAAATCAATAAAATTAAAGAAGGGCTAATATCATTTTGTATCCCGAAAGATATTTTAATTTTTAATTTATATCTTTAAATATTAAAATTTTTAATTTATATCATCAATAAACGATCATTCAATTTTTCGTCATAAATTGAAGCACATTAGTTCCAAGTGTTTTGGACATGAGTTTATGTGTAAATTCACAGACTATTAGCTTTTCATGGGAGTTGCACATGATTAGGGGTGTTCAAATTTTTGATTACCCGCAATTTTCTACCATACTCGACCCTATTCTAACCTACTGAACGGTTAGTAGTAAAAATCGGGTAGGAATACGGAAGAGTTTTTGGTCTTCTGATTAAATCAGGTAGAAATGCGGAATACCCATCAATTTCTGCATTCCTACCCTACCCGCAAAAAATATATTTAATTTTTTTATATATTTTTTTAGTAATTATAAGAGTATTTGTGTGGTATAATTTATATTATAACATTATCATTGTTGTGGATATTTAAGTTGCTAAAATATGAATTTATTTTTTTGTGTAGGTTACATGATGATTTGTGGTGAACTAGTGATCTATTGGAGCAATTATGATTTTTATGTGTTCATATAGTTTAAATTTTAAATAATTATTATTATATTTGTGTAACAATTATGATTAATTGATGTTCATACTTTCTTGTGTTTTATTATAATTGTTGTTGTTGTTTTAAGTTTTAGTGTTATTGATTTATTGTGTTGTTAAATTGATGCATGTTATTTAATTGAATTGTTAAAATGATCCAAAAATTAATAGCTACAAAAGTGTTTACCCGATTTCCTACCAGATTAATCAGGTAGGAAGTCGGGTATGAATACCACACTTGATCGAGTAGGGTAGGATAAATTTTTTTTTTCTCAAAGTATCGGGTAGGAAGACGGAAGACTATATTCCCTACCCGTAGAGTATGGTGAACAACCCTACATATGATAGNACCAGATTAATCAGGTAGGAAGTCGGGTATGAATACCACACTTGATCGAGTAGGGTATGATAAATTTTTTTTTTTTTTCTCAAAGTATCGGGTAGGAAGACGGAAGACTATATTTCCTACCCGTAGAGTATGGTGAACAACCCTACATATGATAGGATTAATCTCTATTTGATAAAGAAATCATATTTTCGATACACAAAATAATACCAAATTGATCACAGATAAAAATCTACAACTAGTGACATACTTCATTCTCTTGTCCGAAACACTTGCACTTTACATATTTCAATTTATGATAAAAAATTGAATGATAGTCTATGTCAGGTCTACATTACTATAAATTCATAATATTAAGTGTACAAATTAAAATTTTTAATATTTAAAAGTATGAATTGAGAATCAAAATATTTTTTAGGGTTTAAAGTGAGATTAGGCTATTAAAGAATAACCCATTTTATACAAAATAAAAATATTAAAAGAAAAATTAAACTGTGTCCAGGTTCATCCTCCCAAAATTTACCCAAACTCTCCCCCCCAACTCTTCCCCTATAAAATCCAACATTAATCCAATCCAGAAGTCCAACTCAGGATAACCACGTTCCTCTCTCTCTCTCTCTCTCTCTCTCTTTCTCTCTCTCTCTCTCTCACACACACACACAGATTCAGCATGGGCCATCCTAAATTCTTTATTTCATAAATCACCCCCCCTCTCTCTCTGTCTCTCTCTCTCTCCCCCGTCTCTATATTTTATAACTTCCAAACCACCACCTTAAACAAAAGCACAGAGAGAGACGTTCACAGTCTGCACCATCAATGGCGACCATGGCCGCCCTTTTCATCAAAACTCCAAACCGATCTTGCTCCTTTCCCAAAACCCACAAAACCCATTTCACCTCACCCTTCAATCTCTCTATCTCTTCTGTCGCACAGCCAAAAACCCACTCCAGAACTCGAATTTCTTGCGGGTTGATCGACCCGGATGGTGGCAAACTCGTTGAGCTCGTCGTTGATGAGTCCCAGAAGGGCACCAAGAAGAGACAAGCTTTGTCTTTGCCCCAAATCAAGCTCTCAAAGATCGATCTTCAGTGGGTCCATGTGCTCAGTGAAGGTTGGGCTAGCCCTTTGAAAGGGTTCATGAGAGAGTCTCAGTTCCTCCAAACACTTCATTTCAACTCGATCCGACTTGAAGACGGGTCATTCGCCAACATGTCGGTGCCAATCGTGCTCGCCATCGATGACTCGCAGAAGAATCAGATTGGTGGGTCGACCAGTGTTGCTCTCGTTGATTCTAAAGATAATCCTGTTGCAATTTTGAGCGGGTAAGGGCATTTTGAATGCTACTTTGATTTGCAAGTTTATATACCTGAAGTTTGTAGTTATCTACGCGGATGTTGTGTTCTTTAAATTGTAATAATTGTAATCAACAACTTAACTTAACAAAGCCTTAATCCCAACTATTTGGGGTCGATTACATCAATCCTCTTCCTCCATTGCCAGGATCATATGTTACGTTACACCAGAAGTTATCATATTTACTATTTCATTCACTGTTATTTCAGGCCTGATATGTATCAAATCACTGTTCTTTATTGGTGCATTTATTAGGTCTTCTATAAATATGTCTAAACCATTTAAGTCGATTTTTGCTTAATTAATCTCCTATTGGTCATACTTCTACTGATTTACGAATATACTCATTTCTAATTCTATCTTTACCATACATCCATCTTTAAATTGTAATAACTGTATTGCTATTTAAGTTATCAAATATAATTTTGCTTACATTGGTTTAAAAATGTGAAAGGGAAACAAAGTTTAGTTATTATCTAGGTGGATTTTGTGTTCTTTAAATCATAACGGTTGCCTCTGAGCTGATGAAAGTTGTGTTTTTGCATGCAATATTATGACTAACCTTCGATGAAGCTCAAAATGTTTTTGGTCTGATAACTCCTTTGATCATTTATTTTAGGTGTTGTTTCGCGGAAATAGTGAAACATATATTGTCTTGTTAGGAATTCAAAGTAGACAGGTGAATTACAGAAATGACAATGGGCCAAAGGTCCTCAGTTTGTGATTGATGATGTTTTACAAAGGCTATGATTGAGCTGACTGTTTTTTGTCTACAATAACGTACTGTTGTGAGCGCAATTTTGATGATTTTATGATCCTTCCCTGAATTTGTTGAAGTTGATTTTATGTAGGTAATTTGTACAACAAAAGTGTGATAAATTTTTTAATTCAATTGACTGACATAGTTTCTAAAACTTCATGTTTTGACTGATGTTTCGTGTACACTGTTCTAACCCTGAATGAGGGTGTTGGCTGAGGTAGTGAGATTTATGTTTTGTTTATAGTTTCCAAGGTCCCACATTGCTTACAAATGGGTCAAGAGGTCCAATCATAAATTTAAGATTTTAGTTTGAAACCACTCTTCAACTCAACATTTTCATGTGGGATGAAGATCAGGTGATTAATATGCATTTAGGTGCATGGACTAAGTATGGCCTCGTGACGTCTGTGGACATGTCATCGCAGCTGGACTTTGACTGTGAATGACTCGATATATCACTACGGTTAATATAAATTGTTGAAGCTGATAGTCATTGCTGATGAATGAAAAGGACATTATATAGGCCTGTCTTATTAAAAAATTGGTTTGCCGTAATAAAATTTGGATAACATTCTTTCGGGGCCATTAAGAATTTTTTAGTTGTTATATTGATTTTCCTGGGAAAATATAAGAATTAAGATTGGTTAAGTTTAGGGAAACATGTCAACTTTCAATTGGTGTTAATTGATACGGGTGTTCTTCTGCATGTATCAGATATTAGCATTATTTTTNTATATTGATTTTCCTGGGAAAATATAAGAATTAAGATTGGTTAAGTTTAGGGAAACACGTCAACTTTCAATTGGTGTTAATTGATACGGGTGTTCTTCTGCATGTATCAGATATTAGCATTATTTTGGCATCTATCCGACACAGGGCAACTTGGGAAAGTGTCTAACCTGTTTTTACTGTTTGAGAATGTCAAATATAACGATTTTCGTGTTGATTTATATAGAAACCCTGTTTCACCCATGCTGTGGGAACCTAACGTAGTGTTGTTAAATCTGATTATTTCTTCTTCTACAAGAACTGGTTCAGATATCCACTTTTAAAATTGTATACATGCTTTTCTTACTTTGCATTGAAGCCAAACTGGAAAAGTGATAATTGTTGAGAGGATGTCTCTGTTTTGTTTCTTTTTCTCAGGACGGTGTAAAACTTACTGCTGAATACTCGCAAAGTCTCTTCCATGATACAGTTTGTATGTTTGGAAATTTTTGTGGCATATGACAGATCTTGATTTATGAAACAATGCAGATTGCAATATTGAGTTGAGATTATCGTAAAGGCTTTTTCATGTTTTTTGTATTATTTTCGAAAATTTTCAACTCCTTCATCACCCTCTCACCTCGATGTGCACTATCTTGTTAAAACATTGTTTCCTAGTTGCCAAAGGTTGCTTAAAAATTAATTGTGTGACAGTATCTGACAAGCATATGAATGGCAAACCACAGAGGAGTGACTTGATGGTCACCATGGAGTGTCCAGGTGAAGTCATGCTTCATGGCAAGTGCTCAGCTGGTTGCTTAGAATAGTCAATTTGCTTAATTGTTGCATAATAGGTGATTTTTACTAATTGGAGGAAAACATTTTGCCCATTGGCCCTTGTATGTTTTCTAGTACATTTTTCCATAATTCATTTTCGATTCTTTACATCAATGACTTGCCAAAAGTTTCTCTCACCTTTTGCTTTGTGCATTGGGCATTATAGCATTGAAATCTACAAGCATGTCAAGGAAGAAAGAATTGCAAGAACTTGGGGTACCATTGCCCCTGGTCTACCTTATGTCGAGCAAGCAATAACAAATGCTGGAAACTGGCTGATTGGAGGGGATCTGGAGGTTATAGAACCAATCAAGTACCATGATGGCCTCGATCGGCTCCGACTGTCCCCAGCAGAACTCCGTGAGGAATTCATGAGGCGGAAAGCAGATGCAGTGTTTGCTTTCCAGCTGAGGAATCCTGTGCACAATGGCCATGCTCTGCTGATGACTGACACGCGTCGTCGACTTCTTGAAATGGGCTACAAGAACCCTGTCCTCTTGCTTCATCCACTGGGAGGCTACACAAAGGCCGATGATGTTCCACTTAGTTGGCGAATGAGGCAACATGAGAAGGTTCGTATACTCTGTTTCTGATGTTTACCTCATTGCATTTTGTTGGGGGTATGCCCACTATCCCCACCATGGGGATGCTGGAAGTAGAGTAGTCGCATGTCTCCTATACTTCCATGTTGCGTACTGTGATAACTGTCTCTCTCTCTCTCTCAAAAATACAAAAAATAAGGAACATAAATGATTGAAAATCATCAAAAGTGCATATTCTTGTTAGTGAAGAAAACCCACTGCTCCACAGTTTGGAAATTGGACCCCAACCGTTTACTGAGAAATACTTCCCATCTCCAAAGCACACTATGTACAATTGCCTCATGACCTCGCTGATTTTGTTTCATGATGGAACTGTTTCCTCAGGTGCTCGAAGATGGTGTTCTTGATCCAGAGACTACAGTGATTTCTATATTCCCTTCTCCCATGCACTACGCTGGACCAACGGAGGTGCAGTGGCATGCAAAGGCTCGGATAAATGCAGGTGCAAACTTTTACATTGTCGGACGGGACCCAGCTGGAATGAGCCATCCGGTGGAGAAAAGAGATCTATATGATGCTGATCATGGGAAAAAGGTACTGAGCATGGCTCCTGGATTGGAGCGGTTAAACATACTCCCTTTCAAGGTACAAACCACCCTTGTTATTGTTGCAATGATGATTTCTTTTGTTGTATTTTTGGTGAAACTTCAAGTATCTAACAGGTCTCTGTATAACTGCAGGTGGCTGCATATGATAAGACTCAGAGCAAAATGGCATTTTTCGATCCATCAAGGCCTGAAGATTTTCTCTTTATCTCAGGGACCAAGGTATCTTTTCAACTGAGTACGCATAGATTCTTTGAATAATGAGAAGAGAAAGTTGCACGGAACAGTTTAAAAGAAACAAGAAAACTCGAGGGAAAAATGCATTACATTCAGGTTTTATAGATTTTATTTTTGTTTCTGTTGGTGTGTGTTCAAGCTGAATACTTGCATTTGTCTTGCAGATGCGAACTCTTGCGAAGAACGGGGAAAACCCTCCCAATGGATTTATGTGCCCTGGTGGTTGGCAAGTCTTGGTGGAATACTATGATAGTTTGGCTCACACTGAGAATGGTAGAGTTCCTGAACCTGTCCCAGCATAAAGATATTGGTTTCATGGAGATGTAATCCCATTAGTTTGGGAGAGACCTTAAGATTTACTATTCTCCAATGTACAACTGGTTCCATTATTGTAAAAATTCTCTTTCCAGCTCTCCAATAAATTCTGAGGCACTGGTACAGAGACAAAAAACTTTGGCATCTCAAAGCTGTGCACTTGTGTATGTGTGCACATTGTATCATAGTACCCCTTGTGTTTATGTGAATGAAATTCATTGTGGTTTGCCTCTTTTCATGCTGTGTTTCAAATAAGTGTTAGCTATGATGGTTCGAGCCTCACTCTGTCTTCCGAAACAAGTACTTCTTGTGGAATGCATTGATAGTTTGCCGTATATGAGATTATTGTTCGTTGGTCTTTGTCCATCAGAAAGTGTCGGGGGGTTGCATTTACACACAAAACTAGCACATTGCACATTTTAGCAGTATTCTGTTTTTGTTCATGTTGGTCTCAAGGCTCATGAGCACACCATGGACAATAGATTTTGAGGTGCTTTATTGCTTATATTTTTTCAAGCAAAGATGCAACTAAGGTATCTTCCAGCTTTCTTTTATGTGCCATGTTGAGGAATAAGGACATTTAGCAATGTAGATCCCATGTCACTTANAAGGCTCATGAGCACACCATGGACAATAGATTTTGAGGTGCTTTATTGCTTATATTTCTTCAAGCAAAGATGCAACTAAGGTATCTTCCAGCTTTCTTTTATGTGCCATGTTGAGGAATAAGGACATTTAGCAATGTACATCCCATGTCACTTGCATATATGGGAAGGTACTGCTGGGCTAACCCAGAAATTTTAGTAGTTGGACCGCATTTTTGGCCCATGGGCAAAAAATTTGTCCGATTATGCTCCGGTCTTGGGCCAAAAGTCCTGGCCTGCAGTTTGGCTTGGTTTGACCCTCAGCAATAGTTTTTATAAGTCGATTATTTTTATTGATTTTATATTTTATTTTTTCAAGCATACAATCTTTTGAAAAGGTTTCATATGGGTTGGTGCTTGGACTAAGAGCCTAGGAGAATGACTTAAGGATTGGGCCAAGATCGATTCGAGTCAAGAAGAGTTTGGCCTCCATGCTGCATTTTTATCAGTTGGCCCAGCCTGGCCCTACCCAAACATGCCCTCATTCTCTATTTTTTAAAACTTATTTACTGACTAGGGTTGGTTAGGAAAAGCTGGNAGGAGAATGACTTAAGGATTGGGCCAAGATCGATTCGAGTCAAGAAGAGTTTGGCCTACATGCTGCATTTTTATCAGTTGGCCCAGCCTGGCCCAACCCAAACATGCCCTCATTCTCTATTTTTTAAAACTTATTTACTGACTAGGGTTGGTTAGGAAAAGCTGAGAAAGAATCTGCACCAGATAGATGCAAGTTGCTAAAATCATTTCAAGTGTCAATTTTCTAGTAAAGGTTGGTGTAGTGCACTGCCACCAACTCTTCTTTCCATTCCTTTCATTCATAAAAAGTAACAGAAGGGTCCAACATGTTAACTTTATAGCATGTACAAAGGTAGGAAGTACCAAAAGAAATAAATAGCTATAATTAGTTTGGCATTAAAGAAACACAGTTCTAGCCACCCGGAATCTAAAGTAAGCTACGACCTACATGTTCACAAGGCCTAACATAAACCATTATTCCCATAACCATGACAGACTAGGGCAGTTTGCTATGCAGATGTATATCTGCCTCCACCTCCCAATGGATTCAACAATGGAGATTTGATCACCTGAATCATACAGTTCCAATACTGATATATGGTTTATGTTCTGGACTTCACAAGTTTATCCAAATCATAAATGCCATTCATTCATTAGATTAGCTTGGTGCCCTGTTGAACCCTGTAGGCCCTTCCAACTTTACCACTTTCTGCAAGTGGACATTTGGATCCTATACTGGAGAGAGAGTGTGTAAAAAATGGAACTCCCTTTTTCAAACTTCATTGATGTGCCCCTATGGTTTTGTTGGAAACAAACTCATTAGAGCTATGAAGAAAGGGGAAATGGTTTTGACACGTTTTGAGAGCCAATGAAAAAGTGTCACAGACACAGATATTCTACTGGCCTTTAGAATATTAGTGATTAAGAGGCTAGCAAAACATAATCATATAAGGAGGATGCTGATATGATGCACTGAGGCATCGTGTCACTGACAGTGATCTTTAACTTAGCTAACAATTTGTCACCAAGACTCTAAAATCCATGACCACAGATTGTTCCACATCAGAATTGGACTTTGGAGAAGTATAAGAACGTTAACTTACTGTAGACTTTTTTGCGGTTCATCTGTTTAGGCTTTTTGGGTGGCCAATGGCCCGAATGAGGCTTATGCTTTAAGCAATATGAGCGAAGTGCCCGTATTAATCAAGTGTTAACACTCTGGCCGTGTCACTAAGATTAAGCTGTCCTCTAAAGTTTGTAGCGGTTGGCATGTGTATCATCATTAACATCATGGTATGGAGTTTTCAGATTTGTTGATTTTCGATTTGGACACCCTTTAGTGTTTCATATATTTCTGTTGAAAACAGTTCGTAACCATTGTAATTGACTCTTAGAGAGATCTATATGTGTACATCACAAGTCCATTAATATTGCAGGAATTGAGAATTTGAGCATGGGGAATGAGATGGGAAACCGAAATGTATCAGGGATGCAAGGTATAGTAAGTGGAAGTATTTTTGAAGATTGTAGTTAGTTTTTATTTGAGTTCTGTGATTTGTTAGTATTTCCATTTGTGTAATGCAGAAGAGAGCACAGCAGTTGAAGCTCCAGAAAAAACTTCACAAGAAGCTGCTCCTACAAATGAAATGAAAGGAGAAAACCATATAATTCCTGAAGCTGAAGGCAAAGATTTTCATAAAAAAATTGCAGTACTGTCTTCTGATGAGCATTCTTGTACCAGACTTCCTCAAGTCGAAAACCAGAAATCGGGTGGAAGAGGTTAGTGATTCCCTCTTGTTGCAATAGATGATTGAATGCACTTACCTTTAACCTTTTGATAAATTGAACATTCTATGTTCACATATATCTTTGGCTTTCGTCTGCAGAAGAAGCTGAGACTGAGCTTAATCCTCCTCCTCAATCTTCAGAAGATCCAATAGAATCCCATGATGCAGCTAGTCAAGACAGTGAAATCCAGAGAGCTTCTTCACCCAAAGATGATGGCAACCATGAGAAGTCACAAGGGTCAAATTTGTTGAACAATATGCTGGGAATAAGCGATCAACAGATTTGGGAAGAACTAATTATTGGAGCGGGTTAGTTCTATTAGTTTTTCTTATTTTTGTGAGATCCTAGTTCTTATTTGCCTCATGTACAATTGAATGTAATGCTAGGTATTCATTTATCAAATTTGTAGTGTTAGAATTGCTTAGACAAACAAAGATGATGTTAATAACTACAATTGCCAAAAACTGCAACAGAGAAGGTGGAGACAAGTAGCTCAAATTGCAACTCAGAATCTGCATCACTTGATGTAGATCCAAAGTCTGACCAACATGTACGTGTTGCAAACCATACTGAACCGCCTGCAATAGACCACAGTGAATCACCACTGAGCAGTGAGAAAACTCTAGGATCGAGTATATCATGCTTCAGTGAGGAGAATGTTCAGTTACTTGACACTGAAGATGCACAAAATCTAGCTGTAAGTGAATTTTTCGATACCAAACTTTTCAATGTAGAAAAGAAAGAGGATGACTTGTCAGCAGAAAAAACGGCGTCCCAACAAGAGAAACTTGTGGAAACAAGAATTTGTGAAGAAAAAAGTGAAATTTCTTGTGGAGGTGATTTGAGCAAAATAACACTGTCACCAACCTTTTTCGATGGTTTGGGAAACAACTGCAATGTTCAGCTACCCCCTGAAATAAATTTCAGAACAGATGATTCCTCAAATTCATTTTCAGAAGCTGTTCCACAGGCTAGTTCATTAGACCCTTTTCAAGAAGTTTCAGAAGCGCAAGAAAAATGTGTGGTTCTTATAGAAGATGCCAAATTGATGAGAAATGGATCAGAAATTGGAGGGAACAAGGGTAAAACAGATCAAACTCAATTTTCTGATTGGGCAGCAAATGAATTCATGACTGAGGAGGCCAATTCCTCACAATCAGAAACGATAATGATTGGATATGATTGCAAGAAGAATGAAAAGGAAACTCTGGTTGTTTCCAATTCTCCTGTTATCAATAAGGTTCATCAAATTGAGGAGGTAAAGGTGACTGACAATGGAGACAAATCCGGTTTAGATGATACCATACTGAATCCAGTTTCTGAGGAACTAGGCAAGGATTCTGAAGAAGTCACTGAGAGAATGCCTGAAATTGGAACAGGCCCAACCGAATTAACTGTCACATCTGACAGCCATGAAGAAGAAAGGCCAACGGAGAAAGAAAAGAATTCATGTTCAATAGGAGGTGAAACAGAACATTGTATGCAGGGACAAGGTTTGCTCTCACCATCTCCTGCTTCTCCATTTAAGCCCCAGTATCAGAAAGAGGACACTTTAGTAGTATGTGAGGCTGCTGAAAACAGGACCGCGTTGGTTGCAGACTTGAACCAACAAGATTTTTCCGAACTCTTTCTCAACAAAGTCTTGATTGATGATGCCAAGAATGCAACCAAACCAACTTTGGTCTCCACCACTGAAATGGAGAATTCAAAACCTCGGAAAGAACTTGCACAGAATGTCCAAAAAACTTTGGTGAAAATTAATGAAACTGAAACTCCAGCAATGCAGTCCAATGAACAATGTGCTAAAGGCGAAAAATCTGCATTTTCATGTAGTAGTTTTGAAGTGCGAGAAATCATGGGAAGGCTCAGTACTGAAGCAAATCCAGAGAACCAACGTAATCAGGTTGAACTCAGGAAATCTCCAAGCTTCCATTTTGATCTCTCCCTCGGAACAAGGTCAGAAGAATCTGATCGAACTCCACTTCTCCATAATGACAAAACCGCAACCCGAAGTTCATCAAGCCGCATTGAAATGAGGTCTCAAATCCCAACTGCACAAACTGGATATGCTCGAGACCTCATACAGTACAAGACAGTGGAAGAGAAGACCATAAGGATGGAAAGAAGTGATTCAGAGAATTCAAGAGGTTCATTTCTAAGCTTATTGAAGAAAGAAGAGAGAACCAATGTAGTAGTCACAGTACAGGAAAAAGAAAGCTGTGTCAGTGACAAGCAGGAAGTGAATGAACTTGCATTAACTTCACAAAAGGGGAGTGGGAAGCGCAAGCCCCGGGCTTCACTCTTCAGCACTTGCATCTGTTGTGCAGCAGCAATCCATTGAAAGTTTCATTCTTTATTTGATTTTGTTGGTTTTCCCGTGTGATTTGAGATTTTTGAATTGGGAGTTTCCTCATCTTTAAGAGAGCATGTTGCCTAGTGAGTAATTGATGAGCAACTTGGAGAGAGATTACAGAAAGAGTGAGCATACATTGCCAACTATATATGTTCATTATTTGCATTATTTTCTCTTATTTTATATTTTTTTGTTTCTTCTTTAGTCTCTTCAGTGTACGATTCTTTTGTGCGCATTGCTTGTTACGTTGAAGAAAGATCTGCAAGGTTGAAGAGTTAGAAGGAAAAATTGTAATTTAGGTGACTTTGCTGCCTTTGATTCAGTTTCTGTTGTGTTTAAATGATAGAATTCATGGTGCAAGACTCTAAAAGAAAATAAAGAGAGAAGGTGAATTTATTGGTAGAGGTTTCAAAAGTCTATTCCCTACTCATTAATGTTCACGCCCTCCGTTTAATGACTTCTGCGTATAAAAAGATTAGTTTTTTTTTCACGAGAATTGACCCCGTGACCTGTCATCNGAGAGAAGGTGAATTTATTGGTAGAGGTTTCAAAAGTCTATTCCCTACTCATTAATGTTCACGCCCTCCGTTTAATGACTTCTGCGTATAAAAAGATTAGTTTTTTTTTCACGAGAATTGACCCCGTGACCTGTCATCTGAGAGACACATCATATCTAAAAATGTAGACATACTTGCTATATTGACAATCTTTAACAAACTTGCTGCATTCAGGAGACATGCTTGAAACCATGAAACTTTGTTCTTTTGTAATAACCCCACAATAATGCAGGGATGAGACCAACTGGTCGAACAGAGACGACAGTCGGCCATAGAGATCCGGGAGTCCTGTGTGGAAGGGCTCAATACTGACTCATTAGGATGTGGAAGAAAAAAACAAGAGCAGAGACTCAACACCAAATTATGTAAAAGATGATTATAACAAAACTGCTGAGAAGTTAGATGACTACCCAAAGCAGCATTTTCAAGCCTTTTAGAGTTAGATAGAAGTTTTTATTGAGAGTTTCTCTTATTCTTTCAATAATACATCTTTTCAAAGAGTATCTCTTATTTTTCCTATAGATTCAAGTTTGCGTTGGTGATTTCTTTGTGCCATCATTACCGTTGCGTCACATACTACGAGCAATTTCAATGCTACACCATTCAGCTTATCAAATGCTAAAATTTGACATAAAATTGTTATTTGTGGTATTTCAAATATAATAAAATCACNGTCACATACTACGAGCAATTTCAATGCTACACCATTCAGCTTATCAAATGCTAAAATCTGACATAAAATTGTTATTTGTAGTATTTCAAATATAATAAAATCATTTATTAAAATTTTTGATTTGAAACATGTAATGTATAACAAAACAGTAACAATCAAGTGTGAAACAGTTACAAAAGAACTAACGAAACGGTTACATCAGTCTTACAGAAATAATTACACATAATTGTTTGTTTAAACAATATAAATACTAATTCAGTTACAANGTTACAAAAGAACTAACGAAACGGTTACATCAGTCTTACAGAAATAATTACACATAACTGTTTGTTTAAACAATATAAATACTAATTCAGTTACAAAACATGAACTTTTATTGAACTTTAGGTAGATCAAGGCTAGTGTTTGACACTATGTCCTTAAAACAGATTTTGTCCCCACACACGGTGTTTGTGGAAATATCGAGCGTCTGCCTCTCAGGATACAATAATCTTCACACGAGTAGAAATAGCACTTCAATCTACCACTCTAAAGAACCAAAATTTGTGTTATGTACTCNAAACATGAATTGTTATTGAACTTTAGGTAGATCAAGGCTAGTGTTTGACACTATGTCCTTAAAACAGATTTTGTCCCCACATACGGTGTTTGTGGAATATCGAGCGTCTGCCTCTCAGGATACAATAATCTTCACACGAGTAGAAATAACACTCCAATCTACCCCTCTAAAGAACCAAAATTTGTGTTATGTACTCTCCAAATGCAGACTGCCTTAATGATGTATGAGACTGTCTTATGTTGTGAAATTAAACGATGACAATAAAGTGAAATTAATGAAAACAACAATAAGAATGCAATCTAAACAATCATACAACACAAAATTTATGTGGTTTGACAATTTTTCAACGTCCACAACACTGCAGGAATTTCACTATTCCCAAGAAAGAATATAGAGAGGGCGGCGGTCGTACAATCTCAATCCAATAAACCCTAATCACCGAATAACAATTTATATATGTCCTGTGCACAGGGCTACAAAACGGGCCCAAGCCTCCGCTCCATAGACTAAGTTTCAAAAAATTTCCATTAAAAAAAATCACGCAATATTTTTCGGATCGGGTCATCATCCAGATCACACATACAACTAGACTCTACAATAGAAACCTAACACATCTCCCACTTGGAGACTAGTTTTTTTTTGGGAGTTTTGACGGTGTGAGAGAGATTTTATTGATTAAAAATTAAATTATACCTAACTAGGGGAACGTATATAACTTTCCCCTCAATGTAATCTAATTACATTGCAATAAGGAATTANTTATTGATTAAAAATTAAATTATACCTAACTAGGGGAACGTATATAACTTTCCCCTCGATGTAATCTAATTACATTGCAATAAGGAATTAAAAAAAATTCTAATGCATGCTATTACATGAAAATATTAAAATATTCTAGAAAGCATAATTTCCTAAAATAATCCTATCCAATGCAACTTGCTTGAAATATGCCAACTGAACCCATTGCCGAAGAAATGCTGAGCTGAACAGTCACGTGTAAAAAAAATGCTGAGCTGAACAGTCGATGTAACCAGAGAGTGGTCAGCTGCTTCATCCAAAATATTAAAACTACTCTGTAAAAAAACGTCTGCCACTTTGTCTGCCAACTACTGTCCGAAACAAATGAGCTGTGAGTGAGATGAACTTAAATAAGCCACAAGCATTAACTGATTACAGGACATATGAGCTTCAAGATGGCATCCGACATGAGCTGGCAGCTGATTAGCACATATGAGCTGCAATAACAGCATTCGACATGAGCTGAGAGAGCTGATATGACATTAGATATCTTTGAGAAGCAATTAGAGTTCCAGGTAATTGAAAGGACAGCTGATAAGATAAGGAAACCGATAAGCCTACATAATAGGGGGACTGAATTGCTTTGATAAGTGAGTTAAACGATTGAAAGGTTGTATAGCCTTTCTGGTAAGTCAGATGAACTGACTCAATGTCAGTGAACCCAATGCTCTGATCAAATGAGAGAAAAAAGAGAGCCACTGAAAGAAAATTCAGCGATGCCAGCACCCATGACGATTGATAGAACACCCTTAATCCATCTCAAGAATAGAAGATGAATATCCAGCTTTCCAGATTCGATGGGGAGACCAGCAGAATTGATACGTCTGTGGTCCAAAACAGAGGGCATCCTCCGCATCTGATGAAGATACAGTATGACCATCCCTATCAAATCAAGGCAGAGGAAATGATCGTTTCTGACTTCCTTGGAGAAAGATGAAGGTCTGTCACTGCTCGAAGAAGAGCATAAGAGGTATTTAGCATACCCTTTTTGAATTATGCAAGTGGTGAACATAAACTCGATGTAGTTGCTGAACATGAATATGAAAAATTCTGAAATTTCTTTAGTTGTTTGTGTCTTTATAAGATTCTCTTGGAACGCTTCCTTAAACATTGAATGTTTCTGATATCCTGCTGCATGAGTAGTCTAGTATAGACCGGAAGGTGTGCGGCAACGTTCTTGTACAATATAAACACAAGAACAAATTTTTTTCCTGGTGAATACAAGTCTGTCGATCGAATGATCAATCTTACTACTTAGGAATAGGTCNGGCAACGTTCTTGTACAATATAAACACAAGAACAAATTTTTTCCGTGGTGAATACAAGTCTGTCGATCGAGTGATCAATCTTACTACTTGGAATAGGTTGTGAGGGCCGAAGGTGGCCTAAGAAGTGGTGATGAATTTTTTTTATGGGTCGCTTGACTGGTCTTGGGAGGCTAAGAGAGGTTCCTGGAACAGAGAAAAACAGGTTAGAAGGGCGCCAGAGTGTTTTTCGACGTATCCCATCCGACGATCAAGTCAGTTCTTTGAGAGAGGAGAAGAAAAAAATACTATATGATGCTTGAGAAATGATTTTTGCGTACTTTTTTAATGTGTTTGTGAGGACTATTTATACCTTGCAAAACTCATCATTGCTGACAGCGTAGCCAGTAGGTAATCATTAGAGGTGGGCAATGTGCACACTAATTTTTATGATAAATGTCTTCATTCTTAACTGTTCGAGACCCCGAACAACAAATGTTTTCTCCTCGGTCTGCCGAGTGTTTAATGACCTTCTCTCGGCAGGAATGTATTAAACACCCAGGCATAGAAACATTTATTACCTTTCACTTCTAGGCTCTTATGCATTAAATACTGTCTCATCAAGGGAAGAATGCATTAAATGCCTTCCCTCCCAAGTCGTGTGTCAGCAAGGGCATTCTGGTCTTTTCGTCTCTGACCTGACACAATGTGTCATGTGCCCATTCTCCTTTGGTTGAGCCTTCTGCTTTCTTGTGCCTCCTGACACCATTTGAGTAGGACGATGTTATGATGGCTAGTCTAGCCTAGCCTAGGCTAGTAATCTGTCAATCAATAACCCCTACAGGAGCAGAAACACCCACGTGGACAGATACACCTTAGTGCCGATGGAATAGGATGATTAGGGACCAATATACCCAAATTGACCGAGGGATATGTGTCGGTCCATGGCGTATTGGAGATCCTTGATCCCTGTAAATAGTACCCTTGGGGAAGGGGGTTATAGACAGACGAGGATGTGTCAGGATCACAACAAAGAGTTTTCATTGGCGCCAAGTACACGTGTCGTCATCTTGGTGTGTCTGAAAATGTCCCATCAACTGCCCCCCAGCCTTCGATCTTCTGACGCAGAGGACACGCGTCGTAAGAAGACGAAGGGTTCTGCAACTGCCCCAACCACCCCATCATTGTTTTCAGCCGTTTTCTACTGCTTAGGAGGTCGTGCGCATTAAATGCACCTCTTCGTGCTTCGTACCCAATGATGGGGATGGGCACTATATAAACAAACTTTCTCTCTCTCTTTCCCACACTTTTACCATTTTGAACTCTCAG